ACAAGAACGGAGGGGCCTCTGCGCCCTGGGCCCAGCTCTGTCCCACACCGCAGTCACATGGCGCCACGTCTCTTGCAGCCTCCACCAAGGGCCCATCGGTCTTCCCCCTGGCGTCCTCCTCCAGGAGCACCTCCCAGAGCACAGCGGCCCTGGGCTGCCTGGTCAAGGACTACTTCCCCGAACCCGTGACCGTGTCGTGGAACTCAGGCGCCCTGACCAGCGGCGTGCACACCTTCCCGGCTGTCCTACAGTCCTCAGGGCTCTACTCCCTCAGCAGCGTGGTGACCGTGCCCTCCAGCAGCTTGGGCACCCAGACCTACACCTGCAACGTCGTTCATGAGCCCAGCAACACCAAGGTGGACAAGAGAGTTGGTGAGAGGCCAGCGAGGGAGGGAGGGTGTTTGCTGGAAGCCAGGCTCAGCCCTCCTGCCTGGACAAACCCTGGCTGTGCAGCCCCAGCCCAGGGCAGCAGGGCAGGCCCCGTCAGTCTTCTCACCCAGAGGCCTCTGCCCACCCCACTCATGCTCAGGGAGACGGTCTTCTGGCTTTTTCCACCAGACTCAGGGCAGCCACAGGCCCTGCACACACAGGGGCAGGTGCTGGGCTCAGACCTGCCAAGAGCCATATCTGGGAGGACCCTGCTCCTGACCTAAGCCCACCCCAAAGGCCAAACTCCACTCCCTCAGCTCGGAAACCTTCTCTCCTCCCAGATCCCAGTAACTCCCAATCTTCTCTCTGCAGAGTTCCCAAGTGGTCCCAACTGCCCACCGTGCCCAGGTAAGCCAGCCCAGGCCTCACCCTCCAGCTGAAGGTGGGACAAGTGCCATAGAGTGGCCTGAGTCCAGGGACAGGCCCCGCCCGGGTGCTGACATGCCCACCTCCATCTCTTCCTCAGCTGAACTCCTGGGGGGACCGTCAGTCTTCCTCTACCCCCCAAAACCCAAGGACACCCTCATGATCTCCCGGACCCCTGAGGTCACGTGCGTGGTGGTGGACGTGAGCCAGGAAGACCCCGAGGTCCAGTTCAACTGGTACGTGGACGGCGTGGAGGTGCACAATGCCCAGACAAAGCCGCGGGAGAGGCAGTTCAACAGCACGTACCGCGTGGTCAGCGTCCTCACCGTCACACACCAGGACTGGCTGAGCGGCAAGGAGTACACGTGCAAGGTCTCCAACAAAGGCCTCCCGGCCCCTGTCGAGAAAACCATCTCCAAAGCCAAAGGTGGGACCCGTGGGGCGCGAGGGCCACATGGACAGAGGCCGGCTCGGCCCACCCTCCGCCCTGGGAGTGACCGCTGTGTCAACCTCTGTCCCTACAGGGCAGCCCCGAGAGCCGCAGGTGTACACCCTGCCCCCGCCCCGGGAGGAGCTGACCAAGAACCAGGTCACCCTGACCTGCCTGGTCACAGGCTTCTACCCCAGCGACATCGTCGTGGAGTGGGAGAGCAACGGGCAGCCGGAGAACACCTACAAGACCACCCCGCCCGTGCTAGACTCCGATGGCTCCTACTTACTCTACAGCAAGCTCACCGTGGACAAGAGCAGGTGGCAGCCAGAGAACGTCTTCACATGCTCCGTGATGCATGAGGCTCTGCACAACCACTACACCCAGAAGAGCCTCTCCGTGTCTCCGGGTAAATGAGTGCGACACCCGGCAAGCCCCCGCCCCCCGGGCTCTCGGGGTGGCGCGAGGATGCTTGGCCCGCACCCCGTGTACATACTTCCCAGGCGCCCGGCATGGAAATAAA